AAAAAAAAAAAAAAAAAAAAAAGAAAGAAAGAAAAGAAAAAAAGGCTATTTTTGGCAGAAATATAAACTTTGCTTATGATTTTTCTTCAACTATAAAATAAAAATTTATTTTAAATTTAATGCACACAAAACTACAAAATCAGTAACAATTTAAAACTGGGTTAACTTGACAGATGCTGTTTTGGTAAACCTAAATGATCTCTCAGAGTGAATACTGTACGGACTGCTATGGTGCTGGTTTCACATTTTGTTTAGTTTGTTTTTAAGTGCAGCCTATTTACTGCCTATAAGCCCTGTGATACCTCTGCTCTGCCACTCACCTATTTGATGCTGTTTCCTAACTCCCCAGTTCCTCAGTTCCCTTGCCTATAAAGTGAAGATCACCATATTTATCTCAAACACAAGCAGTGTTTTAAATGCTTTAAATATACTAACTCCTTTCATCCTTATAACAACGTTTTGAGGTGGGTATTATTCACATGGAGAACTTGAGGCTCAGGGAAAGTCACTTGCCCAAAGGCCACATCACCAGTAAATGAGCTAGAATTTCAAACAAGGCCTGCATGGTTAACCACTATCCCATGCTGTCTCTCATAATGTTATAGCTTAAAACTAATTCCTAGCTCATCAAAATTAAAGGCATTAATATGTGTAAAGTATTTAAATTATGTGTGGCTGGCGAAAACAGTCAATAAACATTGGCTATGGTTGTTTTTCTCCTACCTCACATTCTCCCATTAATTTGCTCTTTCACCCAAGCTTGAGTGCAGTGCTCAATCTCGGCTCACTGCAACCTCTGCCTTCTGGGTTCAAGCTATTATCCAGCCTCAGCCTTCTGAGTAGCTGGGACTACAGGCACGTACCACCACGCCTGGCTAATTTTTTTTTGTATTTTTAGTAGAGATTGGGTTTCACTGTGTTAGCCAGCATGGTCTTGATCTCCTAACCTCATGATCCACCCACCTCAGCGTCCCAAAGTGCTGGGATTACAGGCGTGAGCCACCATGCCTGGCCCATTAGTCTTCTTTGTGAGTGCAAGTGATGTCCCATAGACCTTCATTTGACAAGAAGGCATCACATTCTAGGTCCACATCAGTTCTTTTCTCATTGGTGTGGGCCAATTAAAGCAATGAAAGCATCAGTGCACTCATGTAACTTGATGTACCATGTGAGCCCAGAAATATCACAGCACTAACCAGAATAAATGCACATTCATTCAAGTTTATATAATCTTTGAAATAAAAACTGGTAGACACCTGAGAATGTATCCAAGGAATCCCTTCTCCCCTGGCAGAGGCTCAATTTATAAAACTGCTCACTATTTTCCACTTTTAAGAGAACTCATGATGGGCCAGGCCCAGTGGTTCATGCCTGTAATCCCAGCACTTAGGGAAGCTGAGGCAGGGGATCACTTGAGTCCAGGAGTTCAAGACCAGCCCGGGCAACATAGGGAGACCCCCATCTCTACAAAAAAAAAAAAAAAAAAAAAAAAAAAAAAAAAAAAAAAAAAAAAAGTTTTAAAGTAGCCAGGCATGGTGGCTTGCACCTGTAGTCCCAGCTACTAAGGAGGTGGAGGCTGCAAAGGGCTGCAACTCCAGCCTGGGTGAAGAATGAGATCCTGTCTCAAACAAACAAAAGAGAGAGGGAGAGAAAAAAAGACAGGACATGTACTAGCTCTGTCAGGTTTAAAAGAATTTTTGTTTCTGTGGATTGTGAATTGATCATTTGTCTCCTTTGTGCCCAACACAGTACCTGGAACACAGCGAGAACTTGCATGTTTGCTTAAATGAACGCCGGAGCCATCAAAGGCAGGGAGAAATTACCAAGAGACAGGAAGAACTGAAAGACTGAAATGCCAAACAGGTCAGAGAGAACCATGCAATACAACAATAAAAACTCTAACCCAAATCCCCAAATTCCAGGCAAAGAACACATCATTGATAGATATAACCATGATTGATTTAGAATAGTTGAGATCAGATCCGGTGGGCTCAGCTCATCAGCACCTGTTGAGTTCAAACCTGAATTTTTTCTCCTTGAGTTTCCTTGTCGCTATGAAGAATAAGTCTGCATTATTGTCTAGGATTCCACATTTTGGCCTGGCTACTAAGTAAATAAAATTGAAAACTAGGAAGCCCTATGCTGCAAAGACTGGAACCTCTGCCATTCAAGGGCAGACACAGCTATATTATTATTGCGTTTAAAATCACCACATTAATTATGCCCGCAGTCCCAGGCAACCCCAGCCCTGCGCCGTGAGGGTGCAGGAGAAGCATGCAGTCACACTGATGTCACCTGTCAGGTAACGGGACTCAGCAGGGAACTCTTCTGGGACGTCCACTCGGGGGCTGCGGGGAAATATGGCTTCTGGCTCCTCTTTGGGGCTCCCTGCTGGGACTCAGTGAGAGGAAGTGGGGCACCGTTGGGAGAGTGGACGAGAAAGCGCGGAGGAGCGCGATGAGAAGGTCGCTGCTGTGCAACGTGGGCCGAGGGGTGGGTGTGGACGCCTCGCCAATTTCCTCATCTCTCTAGGGTTCCTGAGGCTATCGGGGCTTATGGAAGCCAGGGAGGCCCTGGATGCGGAAGTCTCAATGCAGCAAATTACAGACCTAGTTCTGTGCCCTTATAAAGAACCCCTCTCCCTAAGGGCACCCTACACTCCCAAGCGGGGGCGGGGAGCAGCAAAGTATCCAGATCATTCGGCCTGCGGAAGTCTAAAGGGCGCTTTAGACACCAGCCTAAGAACCTGAAACCACCAGGACCCACTGTGATCAAAATCCCCGGGGAGAAGTGAAGAAGGCACACACTGGGGCCCACGCCCCGAGACGCTCGCATTAATCTAAGGTGGGACGTAGAAATCCGTACGTTTCCGAAAGCGGATTTAGAGGCCGAGCCTCTGCAACTACCTCTCTTATCCTAGGACTGCTTCTACCTCCCCTCTCCGACCCGCAACCCGTCCCAGACCAAAGGGAGAAACGCTCTTTCCCGGTTCCAGGCTGACAACCTTGCAGAACCGCAGCCAAAGGCCACCCAGGCCAGGGGCGCCCCCCGGGCTCCGCCACGCCCCCCGACCAGGCCGGCAGCGTCCGCGTCGCAGCCCAGCACCCATTACCTTTCCCGATGACTTCCAGCAGCTCCTTCTCCTCCTGGGTCAGCTCGCCTTTCTTTATGTGAACCATTGGTCCCGCCAGCTTGAAGGTTATTCTGTATCTTAGGAAGTATTTAAAAAGAAACGATGCGTCTGTATTGGGAACGCCAGCCGCAAAGAGGCAAGTTGAGACCAAGACACTGAGTAGCCAGCCGCGGAAGCGCTCCGCTTCTCTCCTCCCTCCAGCGGGCTGGCGGACAGCGGGCGAGCTCGGGCGAGCCGGGCGGGCGGTCTCTGCAGGCCTCGCGGCAGTCACCGCCCGCCGCCTGTCATTGGGCCGGCCGAGGAGGAGGAGTCACAGGAGGCGGCAGCGAGAGACCGCCATTGGAGCAACCTGGGAGGGAAAAGCCAAATGCAGACACCTGGAGGGGGAATTAAATTCTTCCTACACGTTCCGCACCCCTATCCTGTCCGCTTCAAATATTTGGCCACGTATAATATTGAATAATTTCCTAGCTAGTGGTTCTGTGTTCAGCGACGGCTTTCTGGGGCGTGCAGAGGCCCCCGATTGTCGCCATATCCCCACCATGCCCCCGGGAGTGGCGCGGTCCGGGTGGGGGCGGGCTGGGAGGCGGGGGCGGTGCGGGAGGCGGGGGCGGTGCGGGAGGCGGGACTGCGCCGGGTTCCGTGTGTCTATGTCAATGTGTCTGTCCTTCACTCCTCCATTGTCTGCTGCCGCTGCTGCCGCTGCCGTCGCTGCCGCTGCACGAATCGCCGCAGCCCCCAGCCTTGCGCGTCGTCGCTACCTCCTCGGACAGGTGAGAAGCTGCCTAGGTGAGGCACGGGGTGCCGGGAGGGTTGCGAGAGCCGCGACTACCGCCCCTCAGGGGCTTCCACCGGGCCGGAGCTGGCGGGGAGGAAGCCTGTGCTTCCCGGGGCGGCTTCCTGCGTCTCGGAGTAGCGCTCGCTCCACCTCATCATCACCGCGCGCACGGGGTACCAGTGCCCCAGGATGAAGACCTTTGACTCGCCTCGTTTGGCCGCCTCGGGAGACTCTGGGACCGCGGGCCGGCGGGCGGGGGCCAGCCACGCGGTGAGAAGTGGCGGGTGCACATGGTCTCGTGCGTGGCACTGCCAGACGCGGCTCCCGGGCAGGCTGGGGCCGGGGCTCGGGCTAGGGGTGGGGAGGAGAGCGCCCCATTAGGAGCGAGTGAGTGCCTGATGAGAATAGACTTGGGAGAAGATAGTTTTTATGTTGGTGGTTCTCGCCCTTCCCACTACTTGTCATCTCCTTGGCCTCTGTGGAAGCTGTGTAAGAAAACCGGACCTGATGGCCCTATGCTGCCTGTTAAGGATGTTTAGAAACAATTTACACTTGCACTAATACTTCGTTTATGAGAGACAGCCTGGGGGAGGGAGAGGGAAAGGCCTCTTTGCTCTGTTAGAGTTCTCAGTTCCCTTTGTAACTCAGATCTTGAGATTTATGGAAATAGGGAGTGGAGGGTGGGGAGGTTGGAGAGGGCGGAGATTAAATTGGTGTTGCTGCCTATATATAGCCTTAGATTAGCCCCTTAATCCAACCTTCATTCAAGTGTAATATGTAGCCTAGAGCTTCGACTATAGGTAGATGGGGGTAAATACAAGTGTGTATTTAGAAAGAAGACTTGCTTGCTAAAATGTGGGAATCAGTCATTTCACCAGGGTGCACGTTGATATTTACATCATCAATGAAAGTTTCTTTGCAAATTAGTGTTTGTGTTTTACTGCTGTTTCCCTGCAGATTAGTAGTGATGTTTCTCTAAATATGTGTGTCAAAGAGAAATATTTGAATAATTGTGTAGGTGTTTTTACCTTTTAAGCATCCCCAGGACCACTGTTTCTGATCATGGTGCTATACAAAAAGTGAAAGACATTTTCCTCTGGCCTTAGGCATTCATTTTGCGTGAAGCTTTCACTAATACATCTAAAATCTCCTGGAATATGTTTATCATTATTTCCTGCCTTTAGCAAAAATCTTTCCTAAACTCCAGCTGTTTTCCCACTCTAAACTGGGGCAGATCTGAGCCAGAACATCTTACATGAAAATGGTTTGAAATTATTCATCTCAGTGTATAACAAAGATACTTTTGTTGGATGGTGCTTTAATAATGATGTGGCTGTTCAAACAAGTAGTAAGGCTTTTCTGAGAGTGACCAATCTTTTGTAATGCTGTTAGTGCCAGAGTTACTTGATTTATAACATAGTATCATGTGGAAGAAACCCACAAACCTAAAAAAAACGCTTGAGTAGTAACCTCCTGGAACATGTGATTTAGCATCTTACCAGCAGATGCGTACACAGAATTGGGTACTTCATTGCTAGTATTTCCATCTCTTGTGCCAAATCTGGGCCATGGTTACTTGAAGGTCACACCTGTTTGTCTCACTGGGGTTGTCAGTTCCTCGAGGATAGCAGCTTACTATCTATTTTCTTGATGCCTTATGACACCTGGTTGGTATTTAGTTCTCTCTGAATACATGGCCAGTGAATTTAGGGACGATAACATTTAAAGAGAATCTAACATCTACCTAGAAATGCAGATAGATCATGTTGAGTTTAAATTTCTAGAAACAGATGCCTAATGGGCACTGTTCATTAGATGGATTGATTACATTAGTAGTTTTGTACAGTGTAAATATTTAATGTAGGAATAAGATAATGAGCATAGTAAAATAGATTCACATCAAAGAAGTTTTACTGGTAGTAAAATAGCTACTTCATATTATTTAGTCTGCTAGATATTCTACTAGATGCTTTGCATAGAATTATTTTAGTGTTATGACAACCCAGGAATTAGCCAGTATTATCTCCATTTCTGCAAATAAGAGGACAAAAACGAAGGGAAATAATTTGCCCACAATCTCATATTAGGAATGTGAGAACCAGAATTGGAATAATGATTTCTGAAATATTTGAAATGTTGTATGTGTCCTCTCATATCTTTTTCTGCCACTAGCACTCTAGACCTATTGCAGTGCATCTTAAATGGCCTGTTTCTCTCCCACCTGTCTCCTTCTAGCTAATTCAGGAAACTACCGGTTCAATAAACATTGAGCACCTGTCATCTTGTGAGTGGCTCTCCTCTGGCCACAGAATAGAGGGCTAGATCTGTCCTGGAAGGTTCCAGTCCACCAGTGGTCTCAGGAGGCATTTCCAGTCACCTGGGCCTTCCCATGCACCGGGCTCTAAGGTCACCACTCTGCTTGTTCCCCAACCTGCCGGTAATTTCCACCGCTTTGTTCTTGCTTTTCTCCTCCTGGAATGACTTCCCTTCCCTTTTCCCTGAATCCCCTCTCTAGATCTGATGAACTATTCAACTTTCCAGACACAATTTAAACAAAACCTCTTTTATTGAGCTTTCATGTTCATCTCTCCCCCTCTATCCAGTAAGGGAAACATACATGCTAATAAATACATTTATTCATGTGTCTTGGCAAGGGTTATAAGTAAAATCTTTGTATGAAAGATATTGATATGCAACATGGCTGCTGGTATCATTACTGGCAGCCTTTAATTCTCTTCTTATGGATTCCAGCAACCCCTTTTACTGCCCCCACCCCCTTCACCAGCTAAATTGACATTGCTTCTTCATCTGGATCTCCATGAAAATAACTAAAGCAAGCACTTTCTCATCACATTCTATTATAGTTATTATTATTAATCTGTCTGGTCTCTTCTCATTCTAGAATATACATTAACTAGGTTGAAATTATCTTTGTTTCTCAAGATTTAACCCAGTATCTTGTACTTAGTGTATGCTCAGTACAAGCTGAGTTGAATTCAGTTTGATCTCTAAGTTATTTTAGGTGGATTTGTTTTCCTACTTGACTAATCCTTCCTGGCAATGTGAGGTGAGGTGGCACTAAACACACACAATCATAACCAGAGGCAAAAAGTCTTTAAATGTTTTGCATCTCAAGCTTCTTGACATTCTGATGAGTGCTATCAACCAAGAAAAATTGTTCCTATGCATATGTTAGAAATTTGGCATGCCATTCCTAGATTTACCCCATTAAAGCCCCTGATCTCCAGCTCTCTACATTAAGACAATGTTGCCTTTTTATTGCATTTTTGAGTATTACATCTTTCAGGGTACTGGTTTTCTTGACTTTTGACTTTTTTCTTGACTGGATATTTGATAATATTAAGAAATTGTAATTTGTTTTTAGGTTTGAAGTCGATTATGGTTATATTTTTTAAAAGATTACTTATCTTTTAGAGATAGGAACTGAATTATTTTAGAACTGGATGATAAGACATCTGAGATTTTGCTTTAATATAATTCTGTGACAGAAAGGAAGAGAGACTGAATGAGAATATAGATGAGATAAAATTGACTATGTTAACAGTTGAAGATGGGTGATGAGTACATTTGCTTGATTATACTGTTCACCCTACTTTTGGATATATTTGAGATTTTTCATAATGAAGTTTTTAAAAAGAAAATTTGGAAGTATTACAGCCTCTAAGGAATATTTTTTTTAACACAACATGAGAAAGTAATATGAATACAAATGTTCTTTTTTCTATACTTGGAGCTTCACTTATGTGATTATTCATTTAAGTGTTAAAGCAGTTACACCTAAATCTGCAAAGAACTGTCTTGTGAACAATGCATTTCCATAAACATTTCATATCACATTTTAACTTCTCCACAAAACTAAAAGCTTGGTGGCATTACTCAGTGATTGTGAAACAAATTGATGAATATCTTACCAGTAGTTAATCTTCATCTTTTTTGAAAATTGACAAAGTAATTTGCAGAAAATTCTGAAGAAGGGGTACAGATGTATTTAGTTTGAGAAAATCAACTTGTGAATGAAGTAGAGACACTGATTTTCTTTTATGCCTCATAATCCAACTTAGAAGGCATTCCAAAAAAAGGAGTACCAAAACTGTTTTAAGCAATATCAGCACCGTTAGGATAAGTATATTGGTCTAGGAAAATCAGGCGCAGGTCCAGGATAAGGTGTGACTGGTGGGTTCCTACTCAGTGTTTACTTGGCTGAATGCTTACCTGGACACCTACTTTCTGATTTGTGCAATTTTCTACACTTATTTTTTGATGTTTAAATTTTTTTTGTTGTGTTTTAGATATATGAAGTGTCATTTATAACATGTCATCCTAGACTTTGGGATTTTAAAAGAATGCTTAATTAATATGAAATCTACCAATAGTAGCGGATCATAAACAAGAATACTTTTCATTCTTAACTCACTCTGATGTCTGTGTATTGAGGCTGTGGTGCTCTTTAGCAAATATCTTTTGGGCAGCTAGGTGCCAAGTGGAATGATTTGCCCAGTTCTAAATTTGACATGTATTGAGTGAAGAGTGCCAAAAATGTTCAGATACTCGTATTTGTAAACTACTTTGAAAATAAAGGTTTAGATAACTCACTGAATGAACTATTCTTTGTTAAATGCCAAAAAGACAATGTTCTCATTATTCTGTCTTGATTTTTAGCAGTAGGGGTTTCCACTGATGTTTTTTAAGTTTATGTAAAAAATGAAAGGAAAAAAGTGTAATGACAATAAGAAAGAATAATACCCTGTTACTATTAGATAGTGTGATCTAATAGTATGGTGCCCTGTATACTGTTAGATAGTATAATTCTTGGCTATCTTTAATTCTTTTAAGTTTGAAAATATTAATATTTTAGTAGAAAAAATAATAAGATGTAGAATTATTTTTGGCATCAGATGTAGAATTACGTTTTTTCTTTTCACATCTCAACTTATTTTTATGCTAGATGCAAACTTTAGAAATATAACAGGTGTA